TTCATTTTTTCATTTGATTCATCATTGATTTTTTTTATAATGTCGTCATTTTTCATTTAATTGGCTTTGGTGCCAAGTTAAGACATGAAGTTTTATTTTAAAAGGTTAATCCGATAGCAAGAGTAATCCAAAGACCATAATTATTTTATTCCATATAATATTTTATTATTTTTTAATTTATGAGTGTGAGAATTCAAGTATTGTTTTCATATAGACAAAAACGGAGAGATAATAATAATATAATATAATTGCATAAATGGAGAATACTTTAGACCATAATACAAACAAAGGATGTTTTCTTTTGGACTGAAATTTGCTGGTCTGGTCTGGTCTGGTCTGTTTAAGTCTGGTCTGGTCTGGCCTGTTCTGTTTAAGTCTGGTTTGGTCTGGTCTGAACTGGTCTGGTCTGGTCTGGTAAAAGTCTGGTCTCTGTGTATTTTATAACTACGGAAGTCTGGTCTGGTCTGGTCTGTTTAAGTCTGGTCTGGTCTGGTCTGTTTAAGTCTGGTCTGGTCTGGTCTGATCTGTTTAAGTCTGGTCTGGTCTGGTCTGGGACTGAAAACAGTCCAAAAGAAAACATCCAAAATCCTAAAAGAATACATCCTTTAAAATAAATCTGTACACATATCTTTTCCGAAAGAGATTTTCACTACTTCAAATGATATACTTACATTCTTTTTTTGTTGTGATGGTTGCACATTCATTTACGATTTAAGAAAAGACCACTCATGAGCAAAATCATTTGAGTTAAGAGACTCAATTAATAATTTTAAAGTAGATCTGTTTTTCGAAATGGAAAAGAAGACTTATACTACCTCCGTCCCACTTATATTGGGACGGAAGAGGGTGGCACGATTATTAAGAAAAGTGGGTTTGCGTGGTTGATATTAATTGATAAAGTAAGAATAAAGTAAGAATGATTTAGAGTCACACAAACTTTGCCAAATATGATATGGGACAATTTAAGTGGGACTTCCCGAAAAGGTAAACAGGACAATATAAATGGGACGGAGGGAGTAGTACATACTTGAGCTACTTAAGAGTTGTAATGGTCATAAAAGAGAAATTATGAAGTTCTGGCTAAAGCAGTTGAATCTATTGAATTATTAAAAATTATTTTTAAAATATACTTGTTTTAATAAATAAAGAAAAAATATATGTAAAATAGCAAAAATGTTCCTCTACACTAAGTTCACCAAAAAAAAATTCTAACCTTGTTTTGATTATTATGAATCGAACGCGCGTAATCAAAAGTTACATGTTTGATAAAAAAAATTGGTTTATAAGACTGATAAGCCGGAAAAAGTTGTCATTGAATGGGCCCTAAATAATACATAGTGCAATGTTACAAAATATCTTTCATTATCCAAGAATAATAAATACTTTAGAAATAAATTTAAGAGAAAAGGGTCAAATGAGGTCTTCTACTATTATGAAATTGTCACGTAAAGTCATGTACTCAATAAAATGTCATATAAATATATCTACTTATAAAAAGTAATCAGATGAGTAATAACGACCCGTTGACTTCGTAATCTCAGTTCTAGCGTACGTCCTAACGACATGAAATATTTGGCCATGAAATATTCTAGCGTACAAGGCAAAAATAACGACACGTAAGCTAAAATCGGGTTAGGAGGTTGTCAACTGATCATTTTAACTCATATGATTGCTTTTTATAAATAGATGTGGGTGATTTTAGTGTCACTGGCCGTTTTGTGTAATTTGGAATGACATGAGTTCCAATGGGGATTAGAACTGTGTTCCAATACAAGTTAGTAGGTGTGGAGTGCATACTTATATATAAGAACGAGTTGTATTCCAAAGTGTCTACGGTAGTGGAACTCGAGGTAGAACACTCAGTAGACCAACTCTGTGGTTCTAGACCGAAGTCTAGAGCGGTTGGGCAGTTTCGTGCAGTTTTCCAAAAAACTGCCACGGTTATTCTCAAACGTGTTGTAACTGCTTGGGACGGTTCATATGGTCCATATGGATATATATCACTATATTTCGTACAGAGAAGAGAGAGACGAGATAGACAACATCTCTTGATCACTTTTGGCTCTAGTTCTTGTGCCTAAGTTCTACAGTGTCCTTAAGAATTATCCTAAATTGAATTTCTTGTAACACAGGCATAGAGGAGAAATATCATTTCGGAAAGTGAACTTACATGATCCTTAAGCAATCCAATTACTCGATTATCACCCCCTTTACGCGAAACCCCAACAATCGAATTGATATTTTCTTTGTGATAATAATGAGTACCGTGCAGAGGAAGCGGTCCAGCCCAGCTGGTCGCCGACTCACTCTCCCTTACGGGAGGTCTCAGGTTCGAAACTCAATGGAGTGAGTTTCAGCTTATATTACTTCAGGCTCCCTCAGCCCCTCCCCAAGACGCCCCCTGGAGTAAAAAAAATCATGAGTACCATGCAAGAGATGACGACCAAGTTCAACAAATTGGACAAGTTTCAAGGGAATGATTTCCGTAGATGGCAAAAGAAGATGCACTTCCTTCTCACCACTTTGACGATTGTGTACGTGTTGAGCACTCCGATGCCTGAAGAGATGAAGGATGAAATCTTGGAACAAACTAGAAGGTGTAACAAGTGAGAGAACGATGGCTACATATGTTGAGGCCACATTCTTAACGGTATGTCTGATGTGTTATTTGATATTTACCAAAACGTTGAGAGTGCGAAGGAATTTTGGAATTCTCATGAGTCAAAATATATCGCCGAAGATGCTTCTAGTAAGAAGTTATTGGTGAGTGATTTTAAATTTTAATAATTATAAAATGGTTGAATCAAGACCAGTTATGGAACAATTCAATGAACTCCTTCGTTTTCTTGGTCAATTTAAACTCCACAATATAAGTATTGATGAATCTTATGCCGTGTCGAGTATATAATTGACAAACTTCCACCCTCTTGAAAGGATTTTAAACGTTCCTTAAAACATCAAGATGAGGTATTGTCATTGATGAAACTTGGGAGTCACATTCACATTGAGGAGTCTCTTCGTGCGCAAGAGAATAACCAAATCGTGGGTGAAGTTGAACCCGGACAGCCTCGTATTCACTTGGTTGATGATAATAAATATAACCCAAACGATAAGGGGAAAGGCAAAAAGCGTAAGTATGAAAACCCTGACAAACCCAACAAGAAACCAAAAGCTTTGGTTTGTTGGAGATGTCAAAAGGTTGGACATGTCAAGCGTGATTGCTGAGTGTAACTGAACAAGAATGACGCTGGAATGAGTGGGAGTGGACAAGAACGGTCTAAGGATCCAGGTCCACAGAAAGGAGGTCAGTTCTTGACTAACTTTGATAATTCTGTCCAGAATTATGTATCACTCATTCCTGAATCTTTTTATGTACAGGATGATGATTGTGCATGGTGGATTGACTCGGGGGCTAAGAGCCATGTGTGTAAGGATAAAGGATGGTTCCTTCTTACGCATGGGAGACGAGTCAATGGCACCAATCTTGGGAAAGAGTGTAGTTGTTTTAGAATTTCAATTCCACAGATTCGTGTAATAATCCTGAAACCATCTCAATTATCCAACAAAATAATCCAATAATAGTTTGTTTATAGTAGTCAAATAATATGTTGTCAGTATGTGCAATATTCTGCATGCAAATGAAATAGCAATTAAATAATTAAGGAAAAACTTAAGATTACTTGTAACCGAGTCCAACGTAAACGTTGTAAGCGTCTCCCAGGATAGAACAGTTCTTCACTCCCAACGGGATTCCGACGAACTCAAAGATGCAACGAACAAAGAGAGAATATGGAGGAATTATTTGTGAATTTTCGGATGCTCAAAAATAGGAAACAAGGCAGGTATTTATAGAGCTCTGGCCAGGAGTCACTAACCCAAAAGACACCTATTAAAAGAAAGTTCATAACCTTTCTTTTAAATCGAATTGTTGTGTCTTCTATTTGATTTTATCTGAAGAAGAATTAAAAAACGTAGCAATAAATATAATCTCAAACCTTAAACCCGCGGATTGTTGAAAACCGGAGTTGACCGGTCAAAGACCGAAACCCGAACCCGACCCGACCGCCCGAACGCTGATTCGCGTGAAGAGTTAATTCCATGCTTACTGTATATGGGACCCGACCGGCCGGACGCCGATTCACGTGAAGAGTTAGGGAGTGTTTGCATTTGATTAAAAAAAGTGTTTTTCAGCTTTTGGCTTAAAAAAAGTTAAAAAGAGTGTTTTCAAATGACAACTTCTGCTTAAATTAATCACTTAAAAGCTAAAAGCTGGAAGCAGGTGGAAGGATGCTTTAAACTGCTTTTCACTTTTTCTATTACACAAAAAGTACTTCTTTTACCAAACACTACCAACTTTTACTTTTTCAGAATCACTTTTTCTTCAAACACTACCAACTTTTACTATTAATCACTTTTCCCAAAAACACTTTAAAAAATCACTTCTTTAAAGTTGAAGCAATTGCAAACACTCCTTTAATTCCATGCTTACTATATATGGATCTCACCGCACAACAAAACTTTGGTGCCTCAAGGGCCCAACCCAATAGCTAAGGAAAGCTTGTAAAAAGACATTTCATTAACTCTCCATTTTGGGTGTGGGACAAAGTCCTTTACGAAATTGGTTTTTAGGCAAGTTCGAGGAACAATTTCTCATTCATTTTTAAATAGTTTTGTACACTTCAATATATGGTTGCGTTCACCTTTCGGAGGACTATACGTCCATACTTTAGGAGTTAGGACTTAGTCCTCCACAAACTAATTGTGGATCTTTTATTTATTTTAGCTCAAACGTGACTATTATATTAAAGTAAAACCATTTTTTTCCAACATAATAATCCTGGAACCATCTCTGCTAAAGTATCAAAAAAAAAAAAAACACATTCGTGTTATTTCTTTTCCACATCACCATCTACATCCACTTAATATATGATTTTTCGAAACTGGGTTGTTCATTTCCGGCATACAATGACTCCTTTTATGAAATGAAAATGGAAGTAATATGGGTAAAATGCACACTTGAATAAATCTCAAATCGAATAGCCAAAGCACTGAAAGAAGAGGTTAAGACAGAAACTATATACGGAGTATATATATTGAATAAGTGATTCATCAGTTTTGACAGCCGCAGTAGACTACTCTATTACAATGCTCAATCCTAAATTTTAAAAGTCCTTACCAGAGAACTTAACAAATTTCCACTTCTTCCTATCTGGTGTGGGTTATAACGACACTGCAGAGGGCATAAATGACATTAACTCATCCGCGAGGTGAACTATTGGCTGCAACTATAACATTCTGCTGAAGTACATGTTCATGAAATATCTTGATGGATTGAAGCCACTCAATATAACTACAAACAAGAAAAGCTCGCCACATCATTAATTAAGCACATACAAACTGTCCAACCAAAAAATTATTGTTTCAAAGCTTATTTTGCGTCCCCAAAAGAAGAACCACAAAGAAAGACAAACTTATTTTCATTGAATTAAAGACCTTTCTGGTTCGGTTGAGGAGTGAAATTTTCAAGTCCATTTTGGTTTGGCAATTTGATTAACATAAAATAAGTAATAAACAAAGGAATGAAAACTGTTGTTCAGACTTGAAAATATAACACCTTAGCTCAAATTGTTTCAAACAAGATACTAAATGTAGTTTAAAATTGTTTCAAGGAACTTCTTACAAATAGGAGAAAGAACAATGACTAGGCCAATTGGGTACAGGAAGAAAGTGGTCTTCTCCAGGAAGGGCAATACTGCACCCAGAGATAAAAGCAAAACTGTTAGCAATTTTCATCATGACAAAGAATAACGTCTAGAGAGAACGGAGAAAGTTTATCTTACCATCATAACCTAAAAAGTTGAGGTAATGGTAGTAGGAAGCAGCAACCATGAAGAGCAAATTAGACAGCAAGAGGGGAATGAAACCGTGTGCGACCAAAACTGGGGATATAAAATAATGTAGGACTGCCACGGGAAAAATAGAAAACATTAGAAAAAATAACCTGCAGTGGGATAAAATCATCTCTTCTGAAAATAATTTTTACCATAAAGCAGGATGAACATTGGGAAGAAAGAATTGCAGTGGACATCAAATGCATACAACCTTCACAAGAACAAAAAGCTTAGCTATAACCTGGGTAATAAAATCCAAATTTAATTAACTAAACTATATATTACAAAATGGGAGGGATATGAAAAACAACAGCATTTCATTTCTTCAATTAATATTTTGAAATGATAATAATAACAATAATAACAATCATCTGCATCAGCAAGGGGCTAACAGTAATTTCAACACATTACCAAATGTGAAGGGCTCAAAATATTGATACGCAACACGGATGGCTCGCCAAGTAGTTCTGCAATCAACATTTTGTATCCAAAGGTTTTCCAAAATGTGTAATTTTTGGGAGCTGTAATGTTTTTTTATCTCACATCATTGTAGAAAATATATAAACGTTTGTTATATAATAATATCGTATATGTATTTCACTTTCATTTAATAATAGTTCTGTTTTTATTACCATATTGAAACAATAAAATTGATAAAATACAAACATATTAATGTCCAGGGCATTGCACGGGTATAATATTAGTAATAATAACAATCATCTACATCAGCAATGGGCTAGCAAAAGTTTCAATTCTCAACTTATTACATTGCAAAAAATTGCAACCAAAAAGAAATTAGAAGCACAAGGCATAGAGATATCTAAACTTGCCATTCTACTCGTTGCTCCACCACATGACTGTTTGGAGCTTCCTCTCGAAGATAATTGTTGGTCAAGAACCTGCAAGGACATTTTCGCATTAAACTTTTCATGAAAGTGTTTTTCCACCCTGGAAATTACCTAACTTATTATTCCTTATAGAGAACAGCAAATATAACACTTCTTGTGATATGCATGTATGACAGAGATCGCTGATTATTAATTAACATGTCACACTTATTCAGATTACTGAATATTCGTTAAAGTATCACACATATTCAGAGAACTTTGTTACATAAAATGACACACTTTTTAGCCCAATTAGAGAAGACAATAACATAAGAATGATAAGAGCCTAGAATGAAAAGAAAATAGAATCTCTTACCAACAACATGTAGACAAAGCAGCTCCAGCTATTAAAAAATGAAAAACCAATATAGAGATGACCACAAAAATTGCATGTCCAACGCTGTGATCATACCTGAAACAAGAGAAAGAAAGGAAAAAAAAGAACCAAACAACATGCTTCATTAGTACTGTATGGAATCAAATGACAGTATATTTACTTGAGACGAAATAAAAAACTCACAAGTTATGGTAAAAGCAAAATATTATGTATGTGGATGACACATACTTTGCAAAATGCCAAAATCATGATGATATAACTTGAAAAATAATGTAGATTAAGATAGGAATATGCTGTAACTACAAAAAGTCTTACGAAATGCATAGTTGACTCGTGTCATTATCTTTGATCAAAAGGTCAAACGATGGAGTGTAACATAGGATCTTGCCATGTATGCATTTTCTAAGATTTTTTGTCAACTTTTGTACTTATAGTGTAGTCCGTTAAGATCTATGTCACTTGAATATTTATAGCCTCTGACATCATTACAGTTAATATTAGCAAATATAAACATAGCAGTTTTTTACCTTTTGGATCAAAATAATGACAAATTATGCAAGTCAAATATAATCAGCATATTATTTACTTTTTCTAGTTTTTTCAACTAGTGGAAAAGTGAAAAAGATAACTTTAGTAAAAACACAAATTTTAGTATATAGTGAATAATAAATAACTTCAGTTAGGCTAAAAAATGTCTTATAACATTAATGGCAACGGATGCTTACGCAGCACAGTAAGCTAAAGTAGAAACCAATAAAAGGAGACAGCATATCACAATAAATGCAGGATCATCCCGTGCCCATTGGTTCTTCGTCTCTGCAATCAAGAAGTGATACTTTTAAGGTTGAGTTAAATCACAATCAATCAAAAGAACGATTCAGAGTAATACACCATAGATGCTTTTGACTTTCAAAATACAATAAGTTAATTATATATATGTTATGCAATCATCAACAACAAAAAAACCTAATTGCCCAACATTGCCAAGTACTCCCTCCATTCACTTTTACTTGCTCCAGTAGGTCTTTCACGGCAATTATGAGTAAAGTTGAAGGAATAGAGAGTAGTGTAGAAAAAGTAAAAAGTAGAAGAGTTGTCAAAAATAAGAGGTGAAGTATCTAACAAAGAAAAGTAGAACAAGTACAAGTAAACAAAGGAGTATGAGAGTATCTATTTTTATCTTACCTAAAAATAATTCATAAGTGATCATATGCTTTACATACACAAGCTAACAAGGCAGTAATTTGTTATGGAAATGAAATAGAAGACTTCATTAACAGAGTGCAACTTGGATACTGTGTAGTATGCCCAAAGCCCCAAACACAAATTCACAAGTGTTATAGGAAACCACAAGTAAACAATGCAAGTTCTTGTGTTTTGTTATTCTGGTATGAAATTCACAGAGCACTTTGCTTATGAATGAATATACATGTGCACTTAGCTTAGTCTTGCAAGAAAGCCAAACCGAACAGAAAAACATGGCTTCAGCACAAATGCTTGAGTTTGTAAATTTCTCACAAGAAACTCCTAATAAATGAATCAGCTTATCAGCTGCCAAGCAACCCAGAAGATCTCTATAGTCATCCAGCATTTTTTGTTCATGCAAGTGGTTTGATAATGAAGTGATAGGTTTTTTAGTAAAAGAAAGTATAAAATGCTTGCAAACAGAAATAGACTGATATAGGACTTACGTTTGTGGTACTTAGTGTGCTGATATCTGCATCCATTGAAGCATTGTGCATGAAACATGCAGAAGAAAAATCAGAAAAATAAAGAAGATACAACCATACCAAGTATGCCTCATCCGGAAGTAGGGTCTAGGGAGGGTGAGATATACAAAGACCTTATTTCTAACCCTAGAAGTAGAGAGGATGAGAGGTTGTTCTCAGATTCTTGAAAATTCCTAACTCTATGGTGAGATGTATGCAGGCCTTAACTCTACCCCCACCCCCGGAGAGACTTAATCTAAACAGCTCCAAATTCTTGAAAACTTGTGTTCTCATTTCATTCCAATCAACCCACAAAATTCTTAAAATGTTTATAAATTTGAGAATCAACCATGGGTGGGATGGGTGGGAGCTAACATTTTTCAGCATGGATCCCTAATCAATGGTACTAGCGATAGAACTGTAATCCTGTCAGCATGAAAATATCATATATAGATCCATAAACACTCACACCACTTTAGGAGAGGTACATAGGTGGAGCATTTGCCAAAAAGTATATTCAATGTCCATTTGTTGCCACTGCAAATTTTTAATTTAAAGATTATTAAATGGTCAAACATGAATAATAGCTATAACAAGAACATAAATTATAATTTTAAGTGAATCAAGGTTATAACATTGAGAGTCTGAGAGCCTTTTAACCTTTACCTGCTGAACAATATGTAACAGAAATCCGAAATAATTAATTCACATTATGTGTTATGTTGATCTGTGCTTTGCAAAAGACTAGGAAAGTTATCATTTGGGTTTGTTATAGGTAGAAGAAAGTAATAAGTTAATAACCATTAAAACAATTCTATGTTACAAGCATAAAGGAAGCTCACACACCAGCTCAAGAATGCATATTCAAGTCAACCCCGGAACGCCCAAAGGCCAAAGCAGAAAACTGACATTAACAATCGCACCAATTCAATAACCTGCTATTTGTACATCTTTTCTCAATATACACTTTCACCTAAGTTTCTTGTTTGAAAGATATGCTACGGGGACTAAGAGATATTGCTCTGTTCACCAGTATCATGTTGAGTTTATATTATGTTGCACTATGTGTTCCTACATCAATTTGTCAAATTAAAGCATAACATTTCTCCACTTGATGTGTGTGAAGTGTGAACTAGCCACTCTCGCACTCTGCATGACTTCTAATTTTCTATTTTCAACTCAAAAAATAGTTCTGAACCATTCTACATTTCTACACTACAATTAATATCCAGTTTAATCTTTTAGCAACTGCCAGTAGCCTACTGGTTAAAAGGAATAACTAACTAACTACTTAAAGAGTAAAGACCTCTGCTCTGCCATTCTACTCAGAATCTCAACACTTTTACAAATATTCAACAATTATACCACTTTAAGTTCTTTATCTCGATGTTTTTAGCAAGTGAGTTAATCAAGTTGTAGCTAAAATTTAGATGTCATAATTACAGTCTAGCATTGCTCGTTGTTTATCAATCATAATCTATAAATCAAGATACCTATATTGAGTCTTAATAAACAGTTTGGTGTGGATTTTAAGATTTTTCCCCACCAGTGAACAAGAAATGTGAATTGTCGATACACAAAGTGGAGATCCGATAAATGCAAGTTGTTTGACAAAGCGCAGGTGCATCGCAACATAAACCCGCATATACATATATGACGAGAGAAAAAGATGATTCCATTGCGTATAATCAACACAAATGAACTGATGAGAAAATCAACACAAATGAACTGATGAGAAATGGGAACCTTGACAATTCTGCGGAGGTACTGGGGGAGAACAGAATTGGGCCGAACATGAGAGCTGGTTCGCCCTTTCGATGAAGAGGTGGGAAGCATATTTCCTGTGCTCTTCTTCTCCTTCTATCTCTTCGACTCTTGATCGGAGATCTTCACCGGTTGAAGCTTGATACTCCTCTCCGGTTAGTCGGGCTTTTGGTCTTGGTCCGTTGGAGCGATTCTCCTCTCTGGCCGGAAGATCCCTGTTGCCAAACCAAGTTGACCCAACCCAATACCGAAACTCTTAGGGCCCAATACCCATGTAAAAAAAAGCAAAAAAAAAAAAAAAAGTAAACATAATAGGAAAACTCGCTTAATAGGAGTAAAAAAAGTTTTTAAATTCTAAAATAGGAATGATAAAAAAAATCTAAAATAGGATTGACACGTTTTTAATCTCTAAGAGCATCAACGATAATTGCTTCTAGGAGCTTGCTTGTAATTTTGAAGTTACTAGCTTACCATTGGAGCATTACTCATCCTTTTACTTGAGAAAGCTAATTAGCCTAAATGAGCTACTAGTTTGAGCAAGATGAATTATTAAATATAAAATTATAAATAATAAATGAAAGAGAAAAAAGTTTTAGCTAACCGTTTGAGTATATTTCAATTTTGCTACAAATGCTTATATGGCTAGTTAAGCTATAAAGTCAATTAGTCAACCGCTGAAGATGCTCTAAGTAGGTGTACTTTCTACCAAGTTTGGTATTACACTTTAAACATGATAAGTTTTTTAAACTTGACAGAAATTACTCCTATTTAGAGAATAAAAAATGAAAATTCATTCGAATTTCAAAATGTTTTTATTCATATCGAAGACAAATTCTATAATATTTATGTTATAAAATGAAAAACACTTATCCCAAATTGAAATGCAATTTGCAGATTTTAAGGTTGTCTCAAGATATCTCGAATAGTGGAAGTGCCTAGAACATTGTTCGCCTTAGAATTTTTTTCGGCGTCATCACCTTTTTTCAGGTGACAAATATTGCGACAATTAACCAGAACAGGAGAAAATAAATGGGAGGGAAGATCGAAAGCACATGGATAGTTTATCAATGGCAAAAGAAGAGAAAGGGAATGAAATTATTGATGGGTGATGACTTTTAAGATTTAGTAGCAAAAGAGATGAAGAGAGCGAATCTTACACATGGAGGCACAGCTACAGATATGGAAGATCCAAAAATGTTAAGTTGGCAAGCTTGGAGGGTACCCAATTTGTACCTCAATCTGTACACCGTCTGTGTACACAGACATTTGGACAGAAAGTACTGCCCTCTTTCGAACAAATTGTCTATGTACACAGACAATTCAGAGATAGATACAAAATGGGATACATTTTGGGGTACATATAGAATTTTGGAAAATTCGCTGTGTACACCCCGGTTTACACACCGGTGTACACAGCACAAAAAGCCCCACCCCCACCCCTTTGTAACCGTATAACCCCCACCCTCTCTCCCCTCTTAATGTTTTTTTTCGTCTCTCCCTCCCACAGAGAAGAAATTGTCTGCTGCGAAAATCTATCGTCTGTAACTATTCTCTCTCTCTCTGAAGAGGTGATCGAGCTTCTGCAGCGGCCATGGAAGCTAGTAAGACGTATTGCGGCGCCGACGAAGTTGTCCTGGGCTGGACATTTGAGGATATATTCGGTCCGAGTCCAGGGGACACGCCAGTGGCGATGGAAAGCTTTAAAGATGTGACAGAATTCATGAGGCAAGGGCATGAAGAGGCGGAAACAACGGCGATGAAGGGTGCGACGGAAGGTGATGAAGGGACGGCCGATGGGAAAACTGTGGATGCTGAGCAAGGTTGGTGTTTATTTAGCATCGTTTCTTCATGGATATTATATGGTTTCTTCATGAGCGTTTTTTTAAGCATAGACAAATTTGTATTGTCTGTTTATACTTTATAGAGAAGTAATTTGTCTGCGTGGAGACATTTGTTGTCTTTCGTACAGACATTTTATTCCCATTTGTATGTATTCTTTCGTTGTTATGGAAGACATTATGATGTTCATACAATCTGTTTTTAATGTCATTACACTGCCTTTTGTTGTTTGTATTTATATTAATAATGTCTGTAATTATTAATAATTTATTCATTTCTTCTTTTAAGTGGTTTTACCATCTCATCAATATACCCTAGTGTAAACTTATACTGTCTGTATGTGCATAATTTGTATCTGTCCATAATGTCTCCATGTCCTTAATATTGTCTGTACTTGAATAATATTGTCTGCATATACATATTTATAAATAACAGATGCATACGGACATAATAATGAGGAAGAAGATGTTGATGCGGTTGTTCGTGAAGTGGGCATGAAGTTTGACAGCACTGAGGCCGTTTATGAGTTTTACAAAAAATATGGTAGAAGGATAGGATTTCCGGTTAGAAAAAGAACATCAACGAAGGATAGAAAAGGCGACGTAGTGTCAATAGTAATAGAGTGCTCACGTGCAGGAAGTAGAGCTAGCAAGTCACTTAACTGTTTGAAGCCTCAAGCTTCAATGCAAACATCTTGTTGGGGACACCTTACATTGTGTACAACATTACTGATTCTTCCCTTTATTCCAGGCTAGTGGGCATAATAAACGAAAGGCAGCGGACACTGCTGTTGAAGAGGGATGCGCTGATCAACATGGTGTTGGTGTAGTCAATAATACTATGACATTACACTTTCAGGACGGATTAGATTTAAATCGTACTCTTTTTTGAATGTAGTATATGATTGGAATGATTTACATCCTTGTTTTTGGAATGTTGTAAACAAAATTACTATTATGTGAAGGTAGGATGATTTGTGCTATTTTTACAAATTTTCAATGTACTGCTTTGTGATCAATTAGTTTTTTTTTCTTACTCAATTCTATACCGCAGACAAAATCCATCACATTACAGTCAATTATTTTGCATAATACAGACAAAATTATACAGAAAAAATGCAGACAAAATGCTGAATAATACAGACACTTAGTTTTTACTAATCAAATATATGAATCAAATGATAGTACTCCACAATAATACAGACACTTAGTTTTTACTAATCAAATATATGAATCAAATGATAGTACTCCACAACAATTATCATAAAATGTTGCAATAAATGCTTGCCGAAGTACAACCAAAATGCATATCAATGTGTACTACAAGTTACACAGACACCACAAAATATACAGACATTCCTGTACGTATGCCACAGACAAAAAAATATTGGAAGCACATTGTAGAATTATTGTACAACATGGCTCGGCCATTATTGTACAAAATACTACATTTAACCACCAGTATGTCAAAAAATACATCTACCCCCAATGTGTTTTTAATAATTACATATACAAAAATAATTGTTTTACAACATCGATCTTGCCATCATTGTTCATCATTGTACAGACATTTAGCTTGATTGTCTTTCATCTTCCATAGGCGTTTAGCATACTCACGCCTCTTATCTTGCATGTTCTCGTACGCGCATCCCGGTATCAACGGGAGGTCCGACATTAGGTGCTCCACAAAACTCAATATCATCATCCCACATTCTCCACTACACATAACACAGACAATATGTATTACATGTTATACTTTGACAGACAAAAATAAGAAGAAAGGATGATTGGTAGTTTTACACAATAAATGAGTAGAAAATTAACACAGGGTATCTTTCAAAGTTAGACATTCACTAAGCAGTTCTAAGGCATCTTCGTAGTCAGAGCGCACAGAGTATTGTGCGGGAAAGTAGTCTTTGATGGGAATCTTCAATTCCATCCTGCAAATACAGACATTTGTCAGAAATACAGACATCTATGAAAACTATATAGACAACTCTGCAATCGGCAAATGCTTATAGACAAGTAAAAAATGAAAATACATATGCAATAACACACTACACAGACATATATGAAAACCATAAAGACAACTCTGCAATGCACAAACGTATCAAAACAAACAACACAGACATCTCAGGGGACATATATACACAACTCTACAATCCGCAATTGCTTATAGACAAGTACAAAATGAAAAAAAATATTTGCAATAACACAGTACACAGACATCTATGAAAACCATAAAGACAACTCTGCAATGCACAAACGTATCAAAACAAACAACACAGACATCTCAGGAAAACCATATGGGTTTTGAACAACATTTTACAAATGGCTTTTAAAAAGTAAAAACATACAGACAAGCATCACACCCACACAGACATCTCATACAAGCCATAAAGACAACTCTAAATCCGCAAACATATAGCAAAACACTAAACAGACATTTCAAGGGAAACCCACAAAAAAAACTCTGCAATGCACAAACATATAAGAACACAGTTTACAGACATCTTAGAATACACAAAACAACACACTACACCGACATATCAGAAAACTCATCTCAGAAAAAACACAACAATGAAGATGGTTATGAAGATCTTTACCTCTGAGCCAATTGAGTCAATGATGTGCGCACCATATCCTTCGAAATCGAAGCCTTGCACTTAAAATTTTAGATGAATTTCAACCTCGCCCTTCGAAATCAGTAACCGCCGTACGTACAAGTTCAGTGGAGTGAAGCGGACGATGGCCGGGGGGGTTTCGTGACCTGCGAACGGAGAAGAAGAGGGAGAAGGGTGTCAACTTCGTCGTAGGTGTCAAATTCGACGGACGAACGGAGAAGAAGAGTGAGAAGGGTACGGATGAATGGAGAAGGGGAGGGAGTTTTGTCTGGTGTTTTTGTGGGGAGTCGGGAAAGAGAAGGGGCGCAGCAGACAATTTCTTCTCTGTGCAGGGGAGGGAGAGACGAAAAAAATTAAGAGGGGAGAGAGGGTGGGGATTATACGGTTACAAAGGGGTGGGGGTGGGGCTTTTTGTGCTGTGTACACCGGTGTGTAAACCGGGGTGTACACAGCGAATTTTCCTAGAATTTTTGTATTTTTAGTGTGTCCACCTAATGATTACTGAGCATCTGGAGGCAGACTCATCACCCATTGAAGATCAATAAAGATCAAGGGAGTCTCGCTTCTAGTATTATTAAATTTAAATCAAATATTGTTTTATTTTTTGATTTGTTTTTTATTTTGAGAATTCTGTCTTTCGGTTGAATTTTTGTTTTTGTGGTTAGTAAGTGTTGACAGGTTAGAAGTAATGAGGCTTTTAGGGTCAAATTAATCTTCTAAACTCTGACCTAATTAGCGATTCAATTTGCTCTTTTTAAGGCATTCATTT